GGCGCCGAGCGCAACCAACAGCAAGGCCACCAGCGCGAAGAACAGGGGCATTCCGGCCCCGGCCCGGCCCGGCCCGCTCTGGCCCCCGCCCTGCCGGGGCGCCCCCCCGCCGCCTCTGAGCTGCGCCGCCGCGGGCCGACCAGCTGCACGCGCAGGGACAGCACTGGGCAAGGAAGCGTTGGCGCGCGTGAGCCCCGCCCCTCGCAGCCAGCCACCCAGCCAGCCAGCTGTCTCCATGCCCCGCCCCGCCCCGCCCGGCGCCCGCGATCCCGCAGGGCCGACCGGCTGCTTGCGCGAAGTAAAGGCGTGGCTCCGGAAGGAGTGAGAGAGGAGGCGGCCTTTGAGCGGACTGACACAGATGCCCCGCCCTCGGGCGCACCCTTCAGAGCCCGGAAATGCAGAACCCTGAGCCAGAGTCTGAGCCGGCTTCCTTAGCTGACTGTGGACCTGGCTGTCGCCTTTGTGCCGTGGAGAGTTCTGTTTCCAAAGCAGTTTCCCGGGGTAGTTATAGAGTCAGCTTGGCCACTTAGGGCCCGGACGGAAGCCACTGTGGATGTTATACCCCTGGGTCATACGAAGTATGTTATTCTATCTTATTCGAGAGCCTTGTGTGAAAATCATTAAGGAGGAAACTAAGGGCCAACCAATTAAACCAATTAAAAGGCCTCAAAATCCCATCTCATTCCATCCACAAAGGAATGAGTTTTTAGCTTATTCACTGAATATTGTTCTAGTCAGTATGTGTTGAGCTGCTGTGTGGCCAACACCATTCTGGGCCTTTCATTGCAGTTTTCAGCGTCTACCGTGAATAGCAGTCTAGGCACTGGGCTAGAGGGATACTACAGAAGTAGAAGATATTGTTCTTGCCCTTCAACAACAATTTATCTGGGAAGCAAACATAATTGTGTAAAATAGAGAATTCAAGGTTAGCTTTATTTTGCTTGTTTCCTTCTCTGTGACATGAAGGAATTGGACAAAGATTCCTTCCAACTTTAGTACAGTGATTCTAACACAGTACAAGCTAAAGACATTGTGAGGATTTCAAAATAAGTACTTCATATCCCTTTGCTCTGACATCCTAATCTCCATAAACATCCTTCAGATTCACTTCACCTGAAGACCATCTTTTCCATCCCTTCAGATTTCACCATTTCAATTTTCACCTAGGTTGCCCAAAGTTGCTTTTACCCATCCAATTGGTTCCTCCTTATCCAGTTGTCTCATCAGTCATTTCACATCTCCCCAAGGGATCCACCACTGTTTTTTTCAAGTTCATGCTTACCTCTCAAATACCATAGTTCCACCATCCCCATTATCTGCAGCCTCAACAAGTTCTGTCTATGAACCTTCAGGGAAAGCTCAACAGCTTAGTGAAAATGATGACCAAGCCACTAAGTGGCACCTTGCAGCACATCTTTACTTTCATTTATTTTGTACAAGCTGTTCCCTTTACTCAGCTGTTCCTTATCACTTCCTTTCTTCCTATTCTACTCCCAACTATCTCAATAGTATGAAATGATTTTATCATTTGTCTACTTCTTTCTGGAGAGACCTCAAGGGATCAATGCAACTGAAGTGGAATAAGGGAGGAGGCAGAGATGGAGCTCCACTAGATGTGGCCTCAGCTTACTGAGACAAATCTTTGTAAAAGAGATCAAGTCTTTTAATATTATGGGCCATGTCTGGCACAAACCTGGTATCCCTAAATGTTCAACATTAACTCCCTAAAGCAAATGAGGAAAAAATCCAGAAGTTTCTAAAAATAAAAAGGCCTGCTAATCACTGAAATTCCAGCAGATGGCAGACACTTCTGTTCATCACTACCATGCTTGAAGGACATAGAAGGAAACTTCCTGGAACTGACAAGCAAGAGTAAAGGAAGAAATGAAGTAAGCAGAGGACAAAAGCTTTTTAACCCTCTTTTTAGAGGAAGTCATCCCTACATCTCTCCAAAAAGTAGAGTTATCTCCTAAGAGCTAAACGCAGTTGTAATGCTAGTAAAAGGAACAGGTGCGAAAAAAAGCTGGATTCCTATCCTCAAATTATTTACTAGCTTTAAGAATTCAGGCAGCTACTAAACTTTTCTGTTCTGCACTGGTAAAACTATATTTACCTGGTAATACACCTGTGAAGATTAAATGAGGTAAGATCTATAACATGGCACCTAGGGGGGGAAGGTATAGCTCAGTGGTAGAGTGTGCTTACCACTGGGTCCTGGGTTCAATCCCCACTACCTCCATTATTAATTAATTAAACAAACAAACAAACCTAATTACCCCCCCAAAAATTTAAAAAATAAATATTATAATATGGTGCCTACTATTTAGCAGACAGTAAATAAATGTTGGTTCCTCTTTCTACATCTACCTCTTTTTATCAAGTGCAGTAACAGATCCAAAGTAAAACATCTCACTGGCTATTTATTAAGGGTCTTTAGTCATAATTTGTCAAAAAACAAAGATGAGATGCTGAGAGAAAGGTGAAAGTAGAGACAGAAAAAGTTTGAATGTAAGTAAGGCTCTCAAAAGTGCCTACACTAAAGGTTTCCAGCATCTCAAGAGTGTTTGTAATGACTTTTAGGACTCAAGGATTAATCAGATTATGAAATAGCACATCTAATAAATGACAACACAGTAACAATGAAATTTTTTTCAATTTGGAGAAAGAAAGTAGAAGAAAAGTCACAAACATTAATAATCCATGATGCCAAGATTCTAAGGAATAAAAATTTCCCAGCTAGGAGGGATGTCTCCCTCAGTTTGTTTTATTAGTATGAATAAAAAGCATCTGTTCCTTCACAAACAAGTCCTGTACTCAGAAAGAACTGACCCAAGTCTGGGAGAACCACCAATTCAAGTATGAAGGAATGAAGCTTCCAAATATAGCCTCTGTCTTCTGTCACGCATCTTCATCTTAGTGGTGACATGGCCACTGCCCAGGGAGCCTGTGGCAGAAATCCAAAGGGGGAAGGAGCAGCAGATGTCTATGAACACTGTGCAGTAACAGTGGCTCACATCCTCCAGACTCACAGCTCTGTGTGGTGGGCTTCTGCCTTCAATAGTTCACTGGGCTTCATGAAGATGCCTTCCATGGCTTTCCAGTAGTTGTTCTGGCTTGGCTGGGCCATGCCATGCACCTCTTTTTGCCCACTGATGGGTCGACCATATTGTTCTCCTGTGACAGACAGCAGAACCTCGGTGGAAGAATGCTTGAACCGCACCTCACCATCCCTTACCCAGTAGGGCCCATTACAGAGCACTGTCCAGTCATCCAGATAATCGCCTTCACCTTCCTCACCAAAAGCACTCACCTCCTAGAAGACAGAGATAGGTAAGCAACATTAGTATGGCTGACACACAGGCTTGAAAAGAAGAGGGAGGCAATGGGAAGAAAAATAAGGCTATCTAAAAGTGAAAAATAAGAGGTTTTCCAATGCTGCTTAAAAATAAATAAAATAGGGAGGAGGGTATAGCTCAGTGGTAGAGCACGTGCTTAGCATGCACGAGGTCCTGGGCTCAATCCCTAGTACCTCCATTAAAAATAAGTAAAAACCTAATTACCTCCCCCCAACAAAACAAACAAATAAATAAAATAAACTGTGGAAAAAAGATAAAAAGACACAAAAGACATGAAATCAATTGCCATAAGATTATGGCCCAAACATTTATTTTACAAGTAATCCTCTATTTGCCTTTTATTTTCTATTATAGTCTTAAAAATATTTTACCTCATTATTTGACTTTTAACTATTCCTGCCTCATTCCCTCAACTAGATTTTAAGTGACCTGGTGAGAAACACAAGTTGGAAAGGGGATGGGCTCTGGAAACAGGCAAACCTTAAATCTCAGTTTTGTCCCTTCCTGTGTGACTCCTTTGGGCTTTCATCTTCTCCTCTATAAAATGATGACAATAATATCTTACAAAATAATTATGAGAATTAAATGAAATAATATATATTAACCGAGCAAAGTATAGCAGGTTCTATCTTCTACTCGTATTCTAATCTCATTCCCCTTAAGGCCAAGAATTCAGAGTATGTATGATAATAAAAAGCTACTAAGGGGTGGGGGTATTGCTCTGTGGTAAAGTGTGTGCTTAACAAGTGCAAGGTCCCAGGATCAATTCCTGGTATCTCTGTTAAAAATTTTTTTTAACTAATTTAAAAAATAAGTTACTGATTATTTCAGACATACAGATATTTTTTAATTGAAGTATAGTTAACCTACAACACTGTTAGTTCCAAGTGCACAACACAGTGATTCAATTTTCTATACTTTACATAATGACCACTACAAAACATATATAATTTAAATATACACTAACAGCCATAAAATTTTAGATGGTAAGAAGGCAGTCATTTGGAAATATAGTCTCTAAGACTAAAGGCATAAGGAACTGCACATAATTAACAATTCTATTACTATGCTGGAACTGAACAAGTAAGTAAGTGGACAACAGTGGTAGGAGCCAGGTATCTCACTGTTAAGAGTGGGAATTTACAAATAAGCAAAGGGAGGAGGCTAAAATGATCTATGAGACAATGGATTAGAGCTGGAGACATCAGTAAGAACTCTTGTTTCATTTAATATAGACACAGATGGTTACACATATGAACATTTATGGTTATGTGTACATGCATTCACATGCAGATATTTCTTAGCTCTGTCAGGTGAGAGGGCCTAAAAGAAACAATATCCCAGTAGCAACAAGCTCATGTAGGGCCTACATCTAAGAATACCATTCTCCAATAAATGGAAGCAGGACTCCTTAGGGAAATAGCTCATTCTAGGACTGGACAAGAAATATACAAGATGAGCCTAGAATATCTCATAGTGCCAGAAAGTAAGGAAGTGTTAAAACACACCCACACAATATATACAATGATGGAAATATGTCACATGGATACAGGAAACAACTGAAAGGGCTCCCAATAGCCAAAGTTGGAACAACTGAGCAACATAATAAAGATAGTACTATTGGCTTATAACTTAAAGTATAAAATAAATATCCAGGAGTCCATACCAATGTAAATAAATGATTAAGTAAATAGAGAAAAGACAAATCACACATGCAGAAGAATTCCAAATAAATTATGCAGCTTTTCTACCCTAAAGGTAGCATAACTCTTAAGTGTGGGCTGTGCATAGTGACTTCTTTCCAAAGATTACAGTATGTAAAAGGGAAATATGGAAAGACTGACTTTACAAGAGAAATCTGAAAAACACTACCTCAGCCAGGTAATCAATATCAACAGTCATTAATCATGCAGATACTATGTATCCTTGATAAAGATGATGAAAATTACACTTTACCTCTGCGGTCTTCCTCGCCCAAACCTTCATAAATCCAGTCTAATCATAAGATCAGACAAATTCCAATAGATGAGCACCCTATAATATACCTAACTAGCCCCTTTCAAAACTGTCAAGGTCAACAAAAAGAAGAAAAATCTGAGAAACTGTCACAGTCAAGAGGGACATAGGGGGTGGGGGGTGGGAAGGGATAGACTGGAAGTTCAAAATTTGTAGATACTGACAGGCATATGTAGAATAGACAGACAGGATTATACTGTATAGCACAGGGAAATATATACAAGATCTTGTGTAACTCACAGTGAAAAAAATGTGACAATATATGTATGTTCATGTATAACTGAAAAATTGTGCTCTACACTGGAATTTGACACAACGTTGTAAAATGACTATAATTCAATAAAAAAAAAGTTTAAAAAAAAGAGGGACATAAAGAAGCATGACAACTAAATGTGACGTGCATGGGATCCTGGAACAGAAAAGAGAAGAGACAGTAGGTAAAAACTAAGGAAACCAAAATGAACTATGGACTCTGGTTGATAACAATGTATCAATATTGCTTTATTAACTGTGGCAAATTTACCAAACTAATGTTAAGATGTTAACAGGGAAAACTATGTACAAAGTAGGGGTGGGAGGGAATCAGTCATTAAGGTGTCCACATCATCCGGAAATTCAAGGCTTAAAAAAATGGCACAATACATAATTTATTTTCCTAGTGCGGTTAGTTAGCATCATTAAAAAAATCATAATGGTAATAATTTCTCTTGCAATTTGGAAAACATAGGGTTTCTTTATAGTAGGATTTATCAAGATACCTTATGATATGCTAACATATACCTAGTCTCTCTTCCCTCATCATTTCTTGATTTGATCTAGACGTAGAGTCTCCATTTTGACCAGAAACAATTTCCTTCACACATATGGGACAGAAGCATATTCTCCAGGTCTGCACAAAAGAGAACACCTACATCTGGAAAAGAAAGGGTTGAGAACCAAGGTATCAAACAACTCAACTGAGTACTCCTCGGTAGAGCAGCAGTGATCCACGGGATGCCACCTCACCTGGTTTCCAGAAAGAGGTGAGGTGAAATGGTGACTATGGAGATTTCGGCCAGTGTTGACATGTGTTAGTCGGATGGGCTGACCACATCTGATGGGGGTTCCCCTTTCACACACGGTGGCGGTCTTCCCCCGTATCCTCCAGTAACTATTGCTGTCATCCACGGAGGTTACACCTGTCACCGACTGCTGCCCACTACCTGCAGTCAAAAAAAAGAAAGAAAAGGAAGAGGGTGAGCTCAACCTGACCCTTCTCTTTCTTGTGTTACATAATAGGTTTGGAGGGGTTGGAAGGAAACCCTATGCTTCGTAATATTTTTTCCCTACAACATTAAAGTATGCATGAGAAATACTAAATGTACTTATACAGTATTAGTTACTGTATGATGAACTATATTTAGGAGTATATTACATCAGAAAATTCCAAGAATTTGCATCCAAGAGCACTAAATAAGTGAACACATGTGGTTTTTTTGAAGCACAGGCAGCATTTACCTATATATACTAGCCTGGATGGCCCCTAATATATGTCAGGTGTCTAATCATATATTAACATGTTTGTAATGTTATTCAATGTTTACTATGTATTACAATAAAAAATTTTTACATTTCACAGTTAAAGTGAGACCAGTTTTTCCTGTCAACTTTAATCCAACAAGCCATTACAGCTCCCCAATTCCTGTAAGTGATCTATCAACCTATTGTAAAAGTATTCTTAAATCATCTAAGTTTGGTTAACACTGCTTACAAATGGTGCAATTCTGCAGGTTAAAAGGTACTAGGTTAAATATGTAGCTACAGGCTTGGGGGAAAAAAAAGAAATATACAAACAATAATTGGCGGGTAGCTAATGTGTACTGAACCTAATTACCAATCCAAGCCTTTTGATTGATTATTCTTATTTGATACATGCATCTATTCTCTAAAGTAAGTATTATTATTTCCCCCATTTTACACTGGAGTGTTAGAAAGGCTTAATAATATGCCAAGGTCACACACAACCCCAAGAGGCAGTGCTGGAGTTTGAACCTAGGTGGCCTGACTCTACAACTCACATTCTTAACCACTCTACCACCTGGCCTCCCAGAAAGCTTTATTTTCTGTCAATTTCCTCCAAATAGGCCATTCATATAAATTCCAGAGATTTCCCTTCCTTAGGCCTCATTCATTAGTCAATTCTTGGAAGGCACTCCATATTTCCCAGACACTTTCCTCAGTTACTCTTGCCTATTTCTCTTAGCTTTGCCTTCAGTCCTCTGGCCCTGCCTGACCACAAGCTTTTGATAACACTTTCCTTTTTACCAGTTAACACATTACGCCTTGTACCACATTTATCTGTGTGAATGTTCACAACTAAACTACCAGCTTCTCACTCTTGCTGTTTCTACTCAACTCATAATGATTTTGTTTTATCTTATAAAAGGGGGGGGCAAACCAACTCTACCTTCTTACTTCTAGCTTTTGCCTTACAGTTCTCTTGGTTCTCACTGTCATGCTTCACTAAATCATGTTGTACATTTTCTGTCTCCTACTTTTTCACTGTCATTCAGCCTTCCACGTCCTCTCCCGTCCTTAAACTTTGGGATTACCCAGAGTTCTATCCCTGGCCCTTATGCACTCTTAAATACTTGTTGGAGATGAAGACAGAAGCATTTACAAGTACTTCAACAAGTTTTTCAACTGATTCAAATTGACACCAGATTGAGAACCACAGTTCATCCTGAGCAATCTCATCTACTCTCCCCACATCTTCAACCACCACCTGTACAATGATATTGTACTTAACTCTGTGTCTCAGGCTCAACACAGATCTCTCTCTTCTGAGCTTCAGAATGAGCCTGGTTCTCAAATGTGGCTGCCCATCAAGAACACCTGAAGAGCTTTTCAAACCTACAGATTCTTACTGGCAGGCCTCTCTTTACCCATGTTCTGATTTAGTAGATCCAAAATAGGAAACCAGATCAAATTAAAATATAAGTCTGACACATAGTAGTTATTCACTGAAAGGCCACTAAGATTATTAAACCCTCCTATAAAGAAACCCTGTGTTTTCCAAACTTGCTTCTGACCCCCTATAGCTTCTGTTCCCGGGGCCCCTGTGACAGCTGCTTTCCTGAACTGCTTCTGCCAACAATGAAAATTCAGCCCCTTTCCTAGCCTAACTGGTCAGACAGGTTTTGGGGATCATGAACCATACACCAGCCCCATCTAAGAGAACGCCTTCCTCTCTTAGCTAATAGCATCATCAGTTACCTAAGACAGACATCTAGCAGTCATCTTAGATGCCTCTCACATCTTACTAGCTGAACCTTACGCTCTTCTTTTTGTCTGTTTTTGTTTTCTTGTAACTTGCTGACTGGTTCACTACGGTGTCTCTTGTATCTAAAACAGTATTAGGCACACAGTAGGAACTCATTAAATCTATACTGAGTGAATGAGCCCACAAATAACTGCTACATTACAAATGAACCACAAACTAAGTATTTTATTTTCATATGTTAAAAAGCCCTCTGAACAGTTTCCCTTCCAATCCCACTGAGTGCTTCAGTTTTTCTTTACGAGGGTAAGGTTTGAGTGAAAAGAGGCCAAAGAAAAGAGATGAAGTTAAGTGTAAGATGCAAAAGAGTTAGACAAGAGTGTCGTAGTCAAAGAGTGAAGTCTTGGAAGACTTCAGAGATAACAAGACTTACTGTAATTTTCTACATGTCTGTCTCTCCCGCACTGAGTAGTGCCAGCCTGCAGTAACTGAACGCAGGCTTTTAACCTGGACAGATTTGGATCGAACCGTCTCTGTCATTCACTAGCTGCCAAGGATTTGAGCATGCGATTTATTTGAGTCTGTTTCCTCATCTGTAAAATGAGGATAATAATGGCCTATATCTCGTAAGAATAAGTCTTCAGAAGTAAATATGTAATGTGTCTGGAACGTAGCTCACCAGATACAAGTTGGTATTACGATTAAGATGCCTTAGGACCACTGAATTCTCCGACTCTCCGCCTCCAGACCTCAGGAACCTCCCCCCGGCTCCCCTAACTTTCCCAGACCACACCCCTCAGATTCTCTCTAGGCCCCACCCCCTCCGGAGCCTAGCAGGCCTTCCCAGCCCACCCGAACCCGGGTGGCAGTACCTGACCCGTAGCGCACGTCGTGTGAGTGCAGTCGGACGTTGTGGCGCGTATTGAGCAGCTTCACTACAGAACCGCATGTAACGACAGCCAGATTGGACGCTCCCACAGCACTCCACAAACCCCCAAACAACAGCAGCGACACCACAGCCATCCTGGCTGCAGTGCAGAGCCCCTAATCTTCGAAGAAAACTCGCCCCTCCCCGGAACCGGAAGCTGCGAGCGGAACCACAGAGAGGAGGAAAGGAAGAAGCCCAATCTGTTCTTTATGGTTCCTTTGGCTAGAGAGGCCTAAGGAACTAGCTAGGCCTGGTTGCTTCCGACTCCCTCGTGCCGTTCCCGGGGCCCTGTGACAGCTGCTTTTCTGAACCGCTTCTGCCAGTTTTCGCGCTCCTTCGACCAAGCCGGGAGAGCCAGGAGGGAGCCGAGAGGAAGAAATGGCCCGCCCACTCCCAGTGACAGGGGGCCGGAAGTGACGTAGCACGTTGACGCAGCAGCGGCGGCGGTGGCGGCGGAGGGGCCGTGCGGTGGGTTCGTACTATCCTTTCCCAGTCTCGGTTCGGCGACTCCATTTTCCTCGGTGGGGGCTGAGGGCACTGGAGAAGTGACGGGCCTCAAGCAGGTAAAGTTTGGACTGGAAAGTCTGTTCCTCGAATGGGTCAGGTGGGGAGCTAGGCTCTTAGGGCCTGGTCCCGTAAGGGAAGAGGCACTGGGGAGCCGTTATGCGGGAAGAAGGGGGGCCTCCGACCTTCCCTTCTCTATGAGGGAGGAGGAGGAGGAAAGCAAGGTAGTTGCTTAGAGTCTTAAGTCTTTTCCCAATCCTGTGCCACCCCAGAACCCAGGAATTGGGCGGCCTGTTGTATCAACAGGCTTCCTGGGATGCCGTCCCTCTCTCGCAGCTTCTGAAAACTGGGCCACGCGATAGGGTTTGGAATGGAAGGGACCTAGGGCTTCTGAGTCAGGATCAGGTGATCGAATTGTTTGTTCTGGGGATGTGAAACCTACGGAGCTTTCAGCAACTCTGCTATCAGAGTAGGGGGTGATGCCAAATTCCTTCTTTTTCCATGTTGTTAAATGATATAATTAGAACTTTGTGTAGATGGCTACATCCATCAGACGTCTACCATACACGTACGAATGCGATATTAAGTTAAAACTTTATTTTCTTCCAGTTTGTGTCTCTCTGTCTCTCTGTCTAGGCACTCGTTTGAGCAGTTCATTTCCCTTGGTTGTTGCAAGTACTGATACTTGTTTTTCAGTTACAGGAGGCCTAAGCTCTCCGAAAATACTTAGACGTAGAAATTCACTGTAATATCAGAAGTAGCAAGGGAGTATTAAATTACATTGCTGCTATTAATGATCATGGAGAATGTAAAGAATTTTGAAATTAATTAATTTCTTTGGAAAAAAGTTTAGTTCGACTGTTTATCCAAAAGTTACTGATTTTTAAGTCTTCCATGTATTGATTACAGAAGTATGATTGCTCCCCCCATCAGATGTGAACTTACAGCCCTTTTCCATGACTTGTGTTCCTTCAACGAGGACAAGTCTGAATCATCTGAAAGCTTATTTAGTTGGTTTGGTTGGCTACAAGATTAGATTAGCATAGTATTACTACTCTAAGAGGTTTAAATCTCATCATGGGATTAATCACATCAAGAAGTGGTGTAGTCGCATTTTACAGTTCTCCCTCCCTCAGTAGACCTTCACAAGAAAGGAGGGCTCCCCAGTAGGGTGGAAACATATGGTCTTTGGAAGCAAATAAATTTGCTCCTGCTTCTCTGTTCTTAAGGCACCACAGTCAGATTATGCTGCAGTATAATACTTTGATTCTTCATTTCCACTATTCTCCAATAAAATCAATCACCAAATCTACCTCTCCATAAAAATCTGTTCCCATCAACATACAGATTATGTTCTGGCATTCCTCTCATCCCTATCTAGCTAGCATTCTACTTCTTAAAATTTCCTTTCATAGCCAGATTTCCAACTGTGTCAACTTTCTCAGTTTTTTTTTTTTTCGTTCTTCAGCCTACACCAGTCTGGCTTCTCTTCTGACCACTCCATTGATACTGCTTTTGTCAAGGTCACCAGTGACTTCTATTTTGTCAAATCCTGTGGATACTTTGTTCTCATCTTTCTCAGTGTGGAATACTCAGCACAGTTTATTCCTCTCTTTAAGTTCTCTCTTCTGTTAGCTTCATTGACACTTCACTCCTGGATTTTCTCCATTTTTATGGCTGCTCCTTCTCAGTCTCCTTTGCTAGCTACTTTTACTCTCTACCTAGTGCCTAAATGTTGAATTTCCTTCAGAGTTTAATCCTAGGTTTTCTGTGTGCTTCCTTTAGGTGATCCAGTCCTGTGGCTTTAATCAGCATCTGAAAGCTGGCAACTCCCAAGTTAAACTCTCTAGCCCAGCCTTCTTTCTTCTGTGTTTAAGACTCATACAAAATGCCTGCTTAATAGGTCCATTTGGTTGTCTCTTAGACATCCCAAACCTGGCATAACATTTTAGGTTCCCTATCATTCCAAACCCGATCTTCTCTGCCTTACTAAGTGATACTCTCATCCACATGGTTACCAAAGCCAGACCTCTGAGAATCATATTGGATTCTTCCTTACTATTCACCTCCCCAAGTCTTTTAGTTAGTCCTGTCACTTCTACTTCCAAGATATATTTCAAATTTTTCTTCTGTTCTCCATCTCTGCTGCTACCACCCTGTTGCAAGCCACCGTCTCTTTTTCCAGAGCTACTGAAATAGTGTTCTCAGTTTTCCCTGCTTCCACCCAGAATTTCTCCCAGTCCATTTTCCACATAGGAGGATCAGGTCAGGTCAGAACATGTCATTTCCCTGCTTAAAACTCTCCAGTGGCTTTCCATGACCTTCACAGACCTGCTTGAGCAGACCCCTCCTCCCTTTCACATCCTGCTTCCTTCACCATTCTCTGGTCACACTAGCCTTAGGACATTGCCTACGATATGCCAAGTTCTTGCCCACCTTTTCTGCCGGGAACCTCTTCCCCTGGTTCTGCGTACCACATCCTACCCATTCTTGACATCTCAGTCTGAACTAACCCTCTCAGAGGTGAGGATGATTATTTCCTTCCTAGCACTTACAGCAAGCTTTATCTGTTTGTGGTTTGTCTCCTGCCCTAGAAAACAGGTATGCTAGGGGCAGGGATTTTGTCTTGTACATGCCTGGCATGTAGTAAGCACTCATTAAGTAAGTATTTATAGAATCAGAAAGTAAATTGCTGAGTCAGTTCTTGGTATAAAACCCTGTAGGGGCTTCTCAGCACCTTTCAGATAAAATCAAAAATCCTTAAGTTATCCTATCAAGATCCTTGTGACCTCACCTCCAACTCATTATGAACCCTTCTCCCTCTTCCCAAACTGGCCCTCATGGTTCCTGCCACAACATATCCTGGGCCTTGTGCTGGGAGCACTTGCCTCCAACATCACTCCTCCAACCACCTCCAAAGAAGCCATCTTCTTCACTTAGTTAATTCCTCCTCACTTTTAAGGTCCTTAAGTCACTTCCTCAAAATTGGGTTAGAGTCTTCTATTACAAGCTCCCATGGTACCTTTGCCATCAATCTTTAAAGACTTTCTGTACTTCTAGATCGAGGGTTACCAAACTAAGACTCCTGAGCCAAATTAGGCCACTCCCATTCATGTACGTATTTTCCATTTGCTTTTGTACTTTAACAGCAGATCTGGCCCTCTGTAGAGAAGGAACTAATATGCTCCCCATTGTGTTACATAAAGCTCAGTAACTGTTACTCCCTCTGTGTGTTGCAGGGATTCTGAATCTGGTTACTTATTTCAGTTGTTTCTCTTCCTCTTTTGCCCTTTCCTTGTCCCCAAAGGAAACATGGAAAGAAAAGGGATAACTAACAATTTTAAATTAGTTATTACATTAGCCATTATTAACAATAGTGTTTTTTATACCCTGATACTGAAAAGATTGTAAGACTGTTATTTCTTATAAATATGGTGAGCATATTAAAATGATTATAGGTAGAATTAACATTTGCTGTCTTCTGACATCTTGACTTGATGTGATTAGGATTTTTCACACCAAAGAGTTCAAACTCTTAGATTTTTGGATTCTAAATTGGGTAGTCACTAGTGAACACCTTTGAAATAGGCTTAGGCCCTCATAAAATGCAGAATGTCTTGTAGTTTACACTCCTCACCAGACTTCTGGGGCTATTTTCCAGACTACTAGGCCCTTTCAGACCTAAGCCTTTGCTCGTGTTGCTTTTTTCCAGTCTGTCTTCTTAACTCCTCTCAACTCAGGCATCACCTCTTCTGAGGCATTCTCTGACCTCCCTCTTTCATATTGCTTTCATAGTCCTGTATATAACTACCATAAAACATTTATGCTTTGTCATAACTTTATTTACAAGTTTTTTGAAGTGAATTGTGTACACCAGGGTCAAAAGCATGTTTTACTCATTTTCATATATCCAAGTCCCAGCACAGAGCTTGACCCTTAAAAAAAAAAAAGTAAATGTTAATTAAAGCTGCCAGTGGAGGGAATTAACAGACATCTCTTTTTTGCTCTGGTCTCCTTTTAATTGCCTCCTACATCATCTTGTTCAAAGGGAGGGACTGCGGAGGGCCTCCCCTGTGGCAATCTGATCCCAGCACCATTCCTCTTCCCAAGAATGTCATGGTAACCGCCAGCCTCTCCCTTTGAGCCACATCTTGTACTGCAGCTGTGCTTCTGCCTGGAGAAACCTCCTTTCAGCACCCCATTCCCTTTCTAGACCTATTTCAGTAGCAAATGTAACTTACAGTCTGAATATGGGGAAAATTCAAGAGCATAAGTACTAAATACAAAACCCAAAAGACATCAGACTTATCTCAGATGTCAAATATTAATAACAACCATATACTAATAAGTAGTGTTTTTGTTCTGAAATAGTTGCTGCTTGCCAACCTCAGCCTGCAGTGCTGCTGCATTACCCTCTGTACATCTTGCTCCCATAAGTTGCAGCAAGTCAGGATTGCTTCTGGCACAGCCTCTTTTAACTGGAAGTCTTGCCAGTGGGCTAGATTGGAGGCATTCCCCAGCTGTAGCACATCATGTACTTTATTGCTGATCTAGAGAATGGGAGGAAAGCTGCATGCAGCACAGAGCACCAGCCACTCCCCAAACAGAAGAAAGCTGTTATTTTCATCAGGTAGGCTGTTTTTCTCTGCTGATAAGCTATAGGACATCTGGTCTGCAGGAGCTGGCATTTAGTGTGAAGATGTTGAGGCCTTATAAAACTGAGTCTGTGGGTCTGATAGCCTAATTAAAGCAAGCTATGTGTGGGGGCTGCTGTACCCAAATCTATTTTTAA